CGACACGGCCGACCGCGTCGTGAGCTACAGCCGCTTTGAGGTCGCGCCCGAGGCGCAGATCGTGCCGGCGATCCCGATTGGCGCGCGCGTCCACGCAACGCTCATCGAAGCCGACCTCAAGACGCCGAGCAACCGCTTGGCAGCTGGATGGAAGGCGAGCCGATCACAGTGATCGAGCTGCCCACGGACGTGCTGCGATTCGAGTACAACGGCAATCGCCAGTGCTGGCACTACGGCTGGCGCTCCAACCGCTTCAACTGCACGACCAAGCATGTGCTCATGGTACCTTCTACCCGGTTTCTCGGTCCTCGTACTAACGTTGGCAGGTGTACATCTTTGAACAAGCGGGCGCGGACGAACTCGAGTGCATCGACGTGCTCTCGTCGCCGCAGTTTACCGTCTGCTCGAGTCGCCGCAGCTCCAAGGCGCTAGCGGCCGGTATGTCTGCCATCTCTTCCTCGCATGTACGACCGATCATGTTTTATAGACGCGGCGCCGTCGCTGCAGGCGTCGGACGACGAAGACACGAATAGCAGCAGGCGAGTGGCCAGCGACCAGACCTCTGCGTTGTCGTCCTACGGTGCCACTTGCCCTTGTCCGACACTTTTTTTCGCTCACAATCCATTGGGTGCAGGCGCCCGTCGTACCCGGTCGCCGCCGCCCGAGTCGAGCCAAGCGACGAAGCGGCCGCGCACCGCGTCACCCTCGGACCGCGACCGCGCGATCGTCGACGCGCTGGCGTTCTGGGACCTCTGCCTCGCGACCATGAACGTGCAGGTCACGTCCATCGTGCAGCGCGACTCGCCGTTCTTCGATGCGTTCAACGCGATCCTCGCGGGCCTCTTCCGCCAAGACTTCGTGCATTTCGTGCGGCAGCACCTGCGCGCGCCTCCGATGCCCGACTTTCTCGCGTCGTTTGAGGAGCTTTTGGTGGCGATTGCGGCGCAAATCAAAGGCGCGCTCGGCCACACGTCGCTCTCGCAGTGGCTCCAGCTCGTGCAGCTCGACGCTGACTGGCACCCGACGGCCACGATCGGGACGTGGCTGCCTGTCTACATTGCCTTTGTCGAAAACATGCAACACGTACGTCTCGCCATATACGTCGGTGTTGTTGCAGCATCCACGGTGTGTAGGCGCAATGGTACTCGGGCAACGTCATCCATAGTGACAGCCTCCTCATGGGCACGTGGCGGCGCGAGTCAAGCGTCAAGCACCCGAGCCTTGTGGTCGCGACGGCGCTCGACTACAGCTCGCTCTACTGGACGTGCTCGAGCCTTGGTCCGAATACCATCCAGGTCCATGAATACGACGTGGCAAAGAGAGCTCATGCTGCGTATGTAGGTGCGCTGGGACGACGCGCTCTGCGGGCCATGGATTGTCTTGCAGCTCGAGCACGAGAATTCGGCCATGCCCCAAGTCCACACGCAGCTGCTCTCGATCGGCGGTCTCTCGTCCATTGGCACCGAGTGGCTCCTCTGCGGCACGCGCGCGTGGCGCGAGAACCAAGGTACTGCCGCCATCTTTGCCACATGCGACGACACGGCTGCATGTAGACGACACGCTCGTCATCGAGTGGTACTATTGGCCCAAGGTGATTGGCGCGCCGCGGAAGCGCATGCGCGAGCGCTTCACGCTGCTCCCGAGCTCGTCCGACCGGCTCATGTGCCAGCTCTTTGTCGAGTACTCGGATGCTGTCCCGGTCATGGACCCCGTCGACATGGTACAGCGCATGCTGCTGCCTGCCAATTGGCAAGTGCAGCAGATGATCCCGCAGTACTACGCCCGCTGCGGTGCGGCCATCGAGGCATACGACGCAGACCAGTAGACGCTACCGTCGACGTATTTTAAACTAAATGGACGGCGCATTGCGGGAGCGCCATGAGCAGCAGCTGCTCGACCCTTTGCCAAAGGCAACTTCGGATACGGTCCATATCGCACTTTGTCGAGCACTTGATACAACAGGCGGCGTACTTTGCAGGACACGATCCAGGAGCTCATTCCACGCAACCTCGGCCCGTGATGCTGCTTGGCGTTCGCCTTCCTTTCGCGTACTGCTTTGCGATGCGGTACGAAAGCGAGTCTACTGTGCCAAATGTGAAGACGGCGTGGGCGTGCAGGCTGTTGCTAGCGAGGAATGTTGCGCGGGGCATTTAATGTTGCGTGTGTTCAGCCTCGTCCTTTCTCTTCGAACTTAAAAGGGTCGACGTCTTCGCCAACTCGATGCATTCTCATATTCGGAACCAAGGCGCTCCGTCGAGATGAGCTTCGCCGACTTTGCCGGGACCGCGCCGCCGATGGCCGCGGGGCGCAGCGTTCCCGTGACGAGCGCCAGCAAGTCATCGGGCGGCGTGCTGGACAAGCTCTGCTCCAAGCTCGAGCAGTTCCAGCGGCAGGTGACGGAGGTCAAGCGGCAGGCCGCGACGGTCTCATCGTCGCTGGACGTCCAGCAAGATCTGGAAGACCGCATCAAGTACGCCTGCCTCATCCAGGACGAAATCACAAAGCTCATGCCGCAGTTGCCGCGGACCGCGGCCGGCGACGTGGGGCGGCGAAAGCTGCTCAAGGACTTTGATGCGATCTCGAGCCAGCTCGAAAAGGTCGTGCAGCAAGTCGCGAACGCGCAGATGCGCCACGTGCACAACCTCGAGGCTGAGGCGGCTGCGTCCTCGGGCACGCTGCATGCGTCCATGAACGGCCAAGTCATCGAGTTCAAGCAGCTCGACAATGAGATCGCGCACAACGAAGCGCTCATCGAAGAGCGGGCCAAAGACATTGACCGGATCCAGCAGAGCGTCGTGCAGGTCAACGAGATTTTCCGAGACCTCGCGGTCATTGTCGGTGAGCAGCAGAACGCGATCAACGACGCTCACACACACGTCGAGGACTCGCTCGCGCAGACGCAGCTTGGCCTTACCGAAGTCAAAAAGGCGGCGGCAAGTCAGAGCAGTTGCGTCCTCATGTAGCCTCGTCTAAGTTAAATCAACACGAAGAAGAAGAAAACGTCGCAGTCGACCTTCGCTATACTTAGATGATGTCGGGCGACGACCGACATGACGTGTTCACGCGACTCCACGTGAGCCCGCGCAAGGCCGCCGCGCCGCTCCGGTCGTACTCGCTCACGGTGCTCCACCTCTCGCCGCCCAAGCCCGTACGATGCCGTATCATCTCGTGCACTGCGACACCCGTCAACGTAGGCAACTTCGTCGTCCAGCGCAGCGGTGCGCATTGCCCTCGTCGGCGACCCGAACGACCCTCACACGCTGCTACGAGCTGTCTTTGAGCACTATGCGAGCAGCCGGGCGAGCCCGCGCCGCATGGAGCCGGCCACCATGGGTGCATCCTCCTCCTCCTCCGACTGTACTCGCCCTCAAGCGCGAGTAGATGGCGTTGGATTTGCGCGGTTTTGCCGCGCGTGTCCAGGGCTCGTCGGCCGCAACTTCGGGTCCGTCGACATTGACTTGACGTTTGCCAAGGTCAAGCCGCGCGGCGACCGGCGCGTCTCGTACGCTCTCTTCGTCGAGGCGATCGGCCTCGTCGCTCTCAAAAAGTACCCCGACAAGGTACGCTTCCTCCATATAGTATGGGAGCGCCGCGAAGACGGAGCGTAGACGCTCGAGGCTGCGATGCGCTCGCTCCTCGATGCACACATCGCAACGCTACCCAACTTGGACGCGCCGGCAGTGACGACAACCAAAGCGCCGGTCGTCTCGCGCGCGCTCTCGGACGCGGCGGCGCAAGCCGACAAGGTGCGCGCTTCACTGCAGCAGTTGCAGCGCCAAGTGCAGTTCCTCGACCTCGAGGCCCGGAAACCGGCGCCGCCCGACGATCCGTATGCCCTCACGGACCGCATCAAGTTTGCCTACATGCTCCACGACGAGCTGCAGGCGCTCCTCGACGCTGTCCCCAAGTCGGTCAGTACACGCGTGGGGCTGGTCAAGGCCGTCGACGCGGCGGCGACAGAGCTCGAGAGCGCGGTGCGCGTCGTCGCCAAAGCCCAAGTCGCATGGCAAGCGAAAGGCCCGCCGTCGCCGCTCATGCGCCGTCAGAGCGTGCCTCCTTCCGCGCTCGCCACGTACATTTCGACGCGCGTCAAGGTCCTCGGAGACGAGAAGCGGACGAGTCCCGGGAAGGCAGCCATTGCGCGCGTGCACCTCCACGTCGATCACGTCGCTGATGACGACGACGACGCGTGGAACCCATTTGCGTCCATCTTTCCCGGCCTCGATGGCAATGAATAGCTTTACTACAGCTGTACATGACGTGGAGGTGTCTACGGCAAGGAGGACAAGGCTAACGAAGCATTGAGATGAGCGGGTCAATGGGGTGGGCGATGGCCCATGCACTGATCGCATGTACTAGTACAGGTCTCAGGCATTGGGTCCCAGGATGCTTCATGGTTGATGGCGCTGGGTGGTAGGGGTGGTAGAGACTGCGGCGCAGCTGCCGACCCTTCTTTGTGCGGCAGAGTATTACACTGTATCGGGGCGGCCTGCTTCTCGAAACGGCAGACGGTATTCGGATGAATAAGGAGAACATCTTCACGCGGCTGCACCAGCAGCTCCCGCGCCGCCTCCAGCCAACGCTGCAGCCTCACCCGAGCCCGCGCCGGAAGCCCCGATCGCGGTCCGCCGTCGTCCATGACGCGCCGCCGCCATCGCCCGTAGGCCGCGCTGCCAACCCACGTCTCCTCATGGTCGGTAGATGATGCACACGCCCCATGCCACGCTTGAAGGTGATCCGAACGATCCGCACACGTTGCTGCGTGGCGTCTTCCTCTTCTACTGCCGCTTTGGGCGCACGGGCACGTCCGAGACGACCATGGGTACGACATCGCATGACGCATCTCGGCTGATGCCAAGTAGATGGCACCAACTTTGCCAAGTTTTGCCGCGAGTGCCCCAGCCTCATTGGTGCCCGCTTCGCCAACGTCGACATCGACATCACGTTCGCCAAAGTCAAGCCGAAAGGCGAGCGCCGCATCTCGTACGCGCTCTTCCTCGAGGCCCTCGGCACGGTCGCGCTGAAGCGGTACCCCGACCTCGTACGTCCGCGTTGCATCTCGGTGCGCTGGGTACTAGTCGCTCGAGAGCGCGCTGCCACGTCTGCTCAAGGTCAACATTGCAATGCTGCCGTGCGTGGTCGACACGCAGACAGGCTCGCCGGTGCGACGGCTGATTTATGTACCTTCGGCCAACGATATATGTTGTCTAGGTCAAGGCCGTGTGGCGCCGACGCCAGCTACCGCCCGAACACAGCGACTCGACGTACTATTCTGATGTCGCTCATTCCCGAAGCCTCATGCCACGTCCTCTAGGTCGGACGCAGGCGACCCCGAGGTAGAAAGGCAAGGCGACCCCGAGGTAGAGATGCAAGGCGCACGACAGCGGATGCGGAGGATAAGACTGTGTAGATGGAGGCCAACAACGACCCATACGAGCTCGCAACGCTGCCACCGCCGATTCCGCAGCGCCGCCGCACCTTTAGCAGCGCACCCGATTTATGAAGCGACGTTATACACCGTTTACAGTCCAAGCAAGAGCGTTAGCAGACGCCGAGTTGACAAGGTTCGCACTGCTGCGCGCCGGCCGACGGCGTCCACGTGCCCTACACCACGCGTGTCAGCAGCATGCATCGCATTGGCAAGAACGCACCAGAGGGCAGACCGCGCACGTCGACTGGCCCGACGGCGCAAACGAGTTGGCGGGGCACCCGACGCACGGAAACGAGCCCTGAACGTCATTGTTTCCATTACATCCTCGTCCTAGCACGCTCTTTACCGGTGCATGGGCATAGCCGCCGGGCGCACACGGAAGACAGTGGTCCCGCATGTAGTTGGAGGTCTGCCCGGGCGGGCACGCCACGCACGCACTCGACCTAGGAGAGCGTTCCGTGAACCTGACCGCGACGACGTCCATGGACCCCGTGACGTTGGCAAACGTGCCGGGGAGGCAGCGCGAGCAGTGGCGGGCGCCAGCCAAAGCAAACGTCCCGACGCTGCAGGTCGAGCTACGAAAGCGACTCGGTCTGCGTCGAGGTGTAGAAGAAGCAAGTACCGAAGGCCTTGACGGCACGCCGATCCGGCGGGGCAGACGAGGCACGTTGTCGCGTCGAGGGTATACGTGCCGAGAGGACACGGGGTCGCAAAGCCACCCGAGCACGTCCAGCCTAAATACAGTCGCGTGGTTGTCTGCCTACGCAATCATCTCGTACCAGCGGCAGGTCGCGGCGGCTCCAAACGAAACGTCTGCTGCGCACACGCGAGCTTGATGCCTCCCGCGCACGCCGACCCCGTCGGACACCGCGAACAGACGCCGGCGCGCATGTAGTTGCCGCTCGCGCACCTCAAGCACCGTACTAGCGGTGGGATGAGGCTCAGTATTACCTGCACGAGTACGGGCCATCGACGAAGAGGCCAAGGCTGGCGACACCAAGGACCCGCGAGGCGTTCAAAACCACCTGAAGTTGGCTCGTGGTCTGCGGCAAATTAACCACGAGGGCAAAAAACTGCCACATCCATGCACTAGCGACAGCGACGTTCCGCTGCTGTTGGGGATGGGAAATCACCTGCTGGACGCAGCCATCGGCAGGCTCACTGGAAAGCGCATGGCGCCGTTCACGATAAGCTCGATGGACGCGTGTCTACGCATGAGCAACAACTTGTCTGCTTTGTTCGAGACGAGTTGCGCCGAGTTACGTTGTCGGCCCCATGTTGGTGTTGACGTAGCCGACTAGGACGACCGGCGTCCCGAGCTCGAGCTGCACGGCAAAGGACGAGCTGTAGCTCGCGTTTTGGCCGAGCGTCGTCGACTGCAGCACGAGGCTTTGGTTGATAGCGCTCAGTAGCGTCAAGCTGCTCGCACTCGACTGCGCCGTCCAGAGTGCCTCGGCGGACGCAAGCGTCGTCATGGGCGGCAGCCACCCAGCAAGCGACATGGACGTCGGAAGAGTCGTCATATCGACCGAGCTCGTGCACGATGGGAAAAAGGTGACTTGCGTGATCCGGAGGACGGCGACGCTACATGTCACGCTTCAGAAACCAATTGTAGCGACAAGAACACACCCGAGGACCGTCACCAGCGACGTCATTTGCGCCGGATCCGACCCGAGCACTGCGCGCCGAAAGGTGAGAGTGACGGCGTTGACAGTCCACACCGCCGACTGAAGCAGGCTGCTCGAAGGCGTGCTGACGATGCTCGCCACCGGCTAGAAGAGATGTGTGAACGTCGTCCTTGCTTGCAGCATCCTACCGTGCATGGCGTCTGGAGAGCCTGCCACGCGCTTGTTGGAAATGAGCTGAGCCATTGTTAGGACACGCCAGCACGACAGCAGGTACGTACCTGAAGTTGAAGCCGACGACAGCGCCAAAGCTCTGGACGAGGCTGCTAAACGTGGGTTGCTTGGCCACTGGCACGAGAAATAACGGCACGACGTTGGCCGCGACGCACGCCTACATGGTTTACAGCATGACGCGGTCAACGATAGGACGCAGGCGTCTACGGTCCGCAGCGAGGTCGACGTTGTTGTGGCCGCATTGATGGACGGGGCCATCGTCACGACAAGCAGCGTGCGCCGAGCGCCCGAGCTCCACGGGATTGACGCTAAAAAGTTGGTGGCCAAGAGCGGTGCCGCATTGAACGGGCTGCATGGTCATGGTGTCCGGCCTGCATCGACGCACGAGCCATCGTACCTCGTAGCATCGACGACCTGGATGGCTTGCGCGGCGCCATGGAGCGCGCTCGCAGCGTGGCCAAAGGTCGACAACGTCGTGTTGAGGTTGGAGTAGAAGCGCCAGTCGACGCCTTGCGCTTCGTAGTTTTGCTAACGACAACATTGCACATGGCATCGTCGCAAGCATCGATCGCGTACCTGGACGGCCGCGAGCAGCGCGGGCAGCAGCGGCGTGTACGACGGATCCAAGCTCGTATCCAAGTAAATGTACGTCTCGACGACCGCCGCAACTGGCAGCGCCAGCGGGATCGAAAGACTCGAGCTCTGTGTCGAGGCCACGAGCACGGTCGAGTTGAAGCCGTTGACGGCCGACGGCGCCTATGCCACTCAGACGTGTCATATCAAGCACAGCATCCAACAACACCTGCACGAGCGCGGTGGTCGAGACGCTCGTGGCTTGCACGAGCAGCGTCAATGAAGCGCCGTCCGTAAGGGACACGTTCGAGACACTGCCGGCGTTGAGGTTGCGCAACGAGAGCACGATCGACGTGCAGCCTTGCCCGCTGCTGATCGGCGCGACGGGTAGAGAGAGACTCATCGATGTCTGCTGCGCCGCAAACGTAACGGTGGTCGCCCACGCGGCTGGCAGCCCGCCATTGGTGACAGAGCCATTGCCCCCGGCTAGCGCAACCACGGCGCTCAGCGTACCCTAGCCCCACACACACAAACTGGCTCACACAACGACGTCGTTGCAAGCGTCGTACGAGGTAGCCGCCGTCGCGCGCCAGGAGCACGGAGTTGGACGACGCGTTGTCGAAGAGCAGCGTCATGTTGGGGGTTGCAAAGTACAGGACGCCCGAAGCGTTGGCGGCAGTAATCGACGTCAGTCCTGGCGCGAGCGTCTCGCACGCAACACCCGCGAACCCATCGCTGCAGCTGCAACCGCCATAGCTGCAGTTGCCGTGGTACGAGCAGACGCCGCCGTTGCGTCCGATGGGACACGCTGGCGAACACGGCAAGCACGCTGCCCACTGATTCAAGGCGTACGTACCCGGTAGACACGGTGTGCAGGCCGTGGACCCTACCCCCACACATGAAACCGTCGTGTCGATCTCGACTGCGTACCAACGCCGCTGCTATACGTCATGGGGCTGCAGCCAGTGCATTGGGTGTTTTGGGCGTCCGTCAGCGAGCTTGTGTACGTGCCGTAGGGACAGAGTGCGCAGCCAGCAGTCGCATGCAGCCGGTGCGTCCCAGGCGGACACGCTTCGCACGTCGCCCGCGTGAGGCTACGCTGCGACCCGATCGGGCATGACACGCACAGCGTCGATGATGTCGCGCCTGTCGCAAGCGTGATCGTGTTGAGTGGGCACGACGTGCAGCCCGCAGTGCCTAATGTAATATCGTGAGAGCGCGTCGTCAGGAAACGTGGACCTGTGCTGCTGGCGTACGTCGCGAGACCGCAGGGCGCACACGCCGCCGCCTTGGTCGTGTTTCCGTTCGAGTACGTTCCCGCGGGGCATTGGATGCAGCTGGCGGCAGTAGCGCTGCCGACCACCGCGCTGTACGTGCCGTCGGGACACGCTGAGCACGCAGCGAGGCCCGTGCGAGCGCCAAAGGAGCCCATCGGACACGCGACGCAGCCGGCCCAGCTTGCCCTAAGAAGCGTTCAGTTGGGAGCAACAACCAACGTCTCGTAGGCAGACTGCGTGGTAGCGCTAAATGTGCCTACGCGACATCATGAAGATCGAGGTGGCAAGAGCGTCGCACCGAGGGGGCAGGCGGTGCAGCTGAGAGCAGACGCGTTGCTGTACATGCCCCTGGGGCATCCCAGACACGCGCCCATCGCCGTGGATGGCGCGTACGTCCCCGCTGAGCAATTGGTGCACGTCGAGGCCGTCGGCGGGCTGAACGTGCCGCCAGGACACGCGGCGCACTGCGTGGCGTTGCCGACTTCACATCGTCTTTGAGACAGCAACGCGACGCACTAGCGTACGCACCCGAGTAGTAGCCGGCGCTGCACGGAGAGCACGCGCTCGACCCGGCTTGGGCCGCAAAGGTACCTGCAGAAAGGATATGCATCTTCAAAACCACCAAGCAACCGCACCAGCGGGACACTGCGTGCAGTTGGCGATCGACGTGGCTTGCGGAACCGACGAGTACGTGCCCTTGGGACAGCTGAGACACGATGCGAGGCTCGGCGCAGCGACAAGGCCGCTGTACGTGCCGAGGGGACAAAGCGTGCACGACGACGCGCCCTCGACGGCGTACGTGCCTACATCTTTCTCTCGCCACCTGTCGCCGTCGGAGGCTTGTACCTGGAGGACACGTCCTGCACGTGGCGTCGCCAATTGCTGCGTAGGACCCGGCGGCGCATGGTTGGCAGACGATCTAGTCCAAAAAGTATCCTGATCCGCTTTGTACAAGGTCGTCTACCTCTCCGGTGGCGTTGCAATAGACTTGAACGAGCCCTGACGCGCACTGCGCCGACGTGTATGCGCACTGGATCGAGTTGCCGGTGACGAGCGCGTATCTACACTATCGGTGGAGCCATCCTGGTAAAAGAGAGCAGCCACACCGCCCGACACCGCCGAGAAGGACCAGTGTCTTGGTCGCATTGAGGTAGTTGGTCGAGTGGGCTCTACAGCGCGCGATGAGTCGTCTGTATTTTCGCAGTCGACCGGCGCGGGCTCAGGAACGAGCCATTGGTGTACGCGAGGGGCAGCGGCAGCCAGCGCAGGAGCGCCAGGTTAAACTCCCATCCGTCACTCATGTAATCACTGGGGAACCTAAGGCAACGTGTCCACTGGATCCACGCCTGCGACAGTCGCGCACCGGAACGAGCCGCCAAGAACGACAACGCGATTGATGTACGACGCGATCGCCGTGTGCCCAAAGCGCGGCGGCGGCGTCGTGCCGAGCTGCTCGAGCTGCGTCCAGACGTACGTTTGCTGCTCGACACTGGCTTGCGTCTACGTACGAGATGACAACTTGTCCATTGTCAACGGCCGTAGTACCGATGATAGCGTCGGACAAAGCGTCCACACGTCGTTGAAGATCGAGTTGTTGAAGAGGCTCTGGCCGCCGTACAGGACAAAGCAGCTGCGGAACGACTCGTCACGGTTGAGCGTCATCGAGTGGTACGCGCGGCCCAGTGGGCTCGACGTGTTGGGTAAAAGCGCCATCGGCTGCCACGTCACGCTGGGAACCGCCGACTGGCACCCGACGCCGCCGCCACTTGGCTTGGTCAGCACCATAAACACAGTCTCGTTGCTCGCCTAGACAAGCATGAGAGCGCGGAATGCCGTGTGGCCGACCGCATAAGAGGAGGCGAGCGTGCCGCCGAAGACCAAGTGCACGCTGCTCGTTGCGTTGACGAGGAGCGTTGTTGCCGAGTGGCCCGTGCGTGCTGTCGGTATGTACATTGTCGCGTTCAACACTTGGTCCCCTACAATGGTGTCACGCATGCCATCTCTTCTTCCTAGGGCGTCATGTACAGATGCCCGAGGTATATGGGTTGCCGACGCAGAGCCTAGTACGCAGGTATCAAAGTCAGCGCACATTGTGTGTGCTCGTCTACCGCCAAAGATCGCCCATGATGTCCGTGTTGGTGCCGGCGTAGATGAAAATGGCGTCTTCCCAGACGACAGCCGCATGCTCGATGCGGCTACCAGGTAAAAACTGCTGCGTCTACGCAAACGCCATGACCGCCACAAGGTCGGACGGTGCTGTACATTGGTCCTGGGCCCGCCCGACGCAATTGAGAGCGTCGGGTGTATGGCGGTGTGTGGCGACGACGGGCTGTAGACTTGGACCGTATTCGCAATCACGGGCTGGCCCGTGCTGATCGAGTAGCCGCCGACAACGACGAGCGCCGAGCTGCTCGCGATCACCGACGACGTGTGGGACACATGCGCCGTGTTGGGCCTACACGCGCGTCAGGAGGTCTTACGTCGCACGCAGTGTACATGCCCTGGCATGTCGTACGAGACGCACGTCTCGAGCACAGCTTTGAGCGGCGTGTACGCGGCGCATGGCAGCTGCGCTGTGCCTACCCACAAGCGAAGCGTTAACGATGCTCGTTCCACCCCGTATGCACCGAGGCTGAGCAGCGCCGCGACGACGGCGACGACCAAGCGCATGCGACAAAAATGGTCGGCGAAACGGCGCCGATCGGATCTTTGGCATTGCGATCTCCACTCGAAAGATCGTTCATGCTAATCAGGAAGCAACGCTGTCTCGCATGCGTGCGTGCTTATAAGGCTCCGTCGCCAGGTCATCGATGGGTAGGCGTCCGTCGCGAGCTCTTGGTGCGTGTCACGCCTGTCTTGTGCCGTGGTGGGGCCGTTGTCCACGGGCCAATCCGCGACCCATCGCTGCATGCGCCCGCTTGTACAGGACCATGACCCAGCACGCATGGGCGATGCAGCGCCGATGGCCCACCGATGGCCGACGCCTGCCTGTCTGGAAAGATCGCAAGGGCAAAGTCAAGATGGCCAATCAGCGATCCGACGATGGTATCCGGATGCAGTCGGTAAGATGACGCGGCGAGCCAAGGAGCAGCGCCAGAAGCGGCTCGCGCAGCGGCTGGCGTACGAGACGCCGGAAGAGATCGAGCGCCGGCTGCAGTGGCGCGCGCTCCTCGACACGATCGATGCGGCGGCCGACGCGCCCGACGTCGCTGCAACCGAGACGGCCAAGGTCCGCACGCTCTCGGCGCCCGACGTCCTCAGCTGGAAGAGCAGCCACGCGATCGTGGCAGCGAGCGGCAAGTTTGATCTGCCCGTGCGCGTCGAGTACGAGGACTCGGAGGTATCGTACGAGTTCCATACAAAGGAGATGGACATCATCTTCTCGATCCGGTTCGTGGACGCGGCGACGGGCCTCGAGCGCTTCCTCATCCCGCCCACGCGCTGCGCGTCGCACGAGAGCGCGGTCAAAGGCTGCCACGACGTCCGCGGCCCCGGCGTCCTCACGCTGACGTGGGACAATGCGTTCTCGTGGATCAACCAGAAAGAGCTCAGCTACGCCGTCGAGCTCCACCAGAACGTGCCCCACCTCGCGCCCCTCGTGCCAGCGAACACGGCGCGGGACACGCTGCAGCGCGAGCTACGTCTGCGCCAAGCCGCGTTCGATGCGAAAGCGGGCGTCCTCGCGACGCTACAAGCCAGCGTTGATTCGCGTCAGGCCAAGATCCTCGACCTCGAGCAGCAGCTCGCGGTATGCTGATGTCGTCGCCTTTTGTGTCGTAAGATGGAGCTGTTGCTAGCGCCTGCAAACAGAGCTGGCGACGGCGGTGGACGAGCAATCGCAAGCCACGGCGGAGCTGCAAGGCGTCGCTCGAGACGTTGAGGTCCTTGACAACGAGCTCACGGGTACGTTCCTACGCCGATCTTGCTATGTAGCTCATGGCTCTGCGCAGCGCTGGCGTGGCGGACGCTGCCAACACCGATGGTCGAGCGGATTCTCTCGTTTGGCGCCAAGGCGGACTGGAAGCAATGGTATGTGCTGGCGTTGTCTGTGGCGGCTCTCACGGTGCTCTAGGATCGCCATCAACAAAAAGTGGCACGGAATTGTCGCTGGCTTCAAGCCTGCGGAAAGAGACTAGCGATGACGTGTGATGAATGCACTCTTGCAATTCGTGCTTGCATTGCGCTACACGTGATAGACCCACGCCCAGCCCGTCCACATGGAACGAGGCGCTCCACCGTCTTCTGCTAGCTGGGCGACGCTATGGTCGGTTACTGTCTCGTCGTGCGTGGACAGTGAGGAAGTCGCTCTAGCGTGGGCCTCGAGAAGAGCCTGGTGGCCTTTAGCGGTGATCGCACGACAAGGCTGGTCAGCGCACTGCAACGCCAAGATTGCAGACTGCCGTGGCGTGGCGAGTCGCTTGGGTGTGGCGAGTTGCTTGGATGCGGCCGCTGTACCGCAGGCCGTGGGGACGAAAAGCGTGGCTTCAAGCCGCTTGCGCTTGCGGTACCGTTCCTGGCGCTCGCGATTCCAGCGTCGTGTCTCTGCCTTTTGAGCGAGGAGGCGCTCGGCCTCGTCCACCGCCCGTTGCTTCTTGCGCTCACGGTACAGGCGCTGCCGCTCTCGATTCTGTCGTCGCGTCTCGGCCAGCTGCACCTCCAGCGCATCCTGCAGCGCTGCAACTGCAAGGCTCGTGGCAGCCTCGGCTGGCATCACGCAACTATTATAATAAAGGCGGGTATTTTAAATGGCCGCATTTTGGCCAATGGGACGCGTCGTTCGAAATTTGACACGACGATGGCAGCGCGAGGTCGATCCCGTGAGAAGCGGCGCCGGTCGCCGTCGCCCGATGGCTTTGGCCGCGTGAAGCGCGATGCGTCATCCGACCGCCCGCGCCGTCGGTCGCCGCCGCGGGAGGACAGTAGCATCCAAGACTTCCAAGCGCAACGCGCTACGCTGCCCGTGGGCAAGTACAAGGAGGCATTGCTCGACGCAATCGCTGCCAACCAGGTACGCCTCGCGCAGCTGCCTCATGGCTCTCAGCAGGCGTTAGATTATCGTGTGCATTGGCGAGACGGGCTCGGGCAAGACGACGCAGCTGCCGCAGTTCCTCTTGGAAGCGGGGTACGGCGCCACGAAGCGCATTGCCATTACCCAACCTCGGCGCGTCGCAACGACGGCCGTCGCCAAGCGCGTCGGCGAAGAGCTCGCCGCCTCCGGCCTCTCGCCCAAGGTAGACCTCGCTCGCCATTTCTCTTCTCGACGGATCGAATACATGCTGCGTAGGCGGTGGGGTATACCATTCGGTTTGACGACCAATGCACATCCGAGACCAAGATCAAGTTTATGACCGATGGCATCCTCGTGCGCGAGTGTCTTCAGGACCCGCTCTTGCAGCAGTACTCGATCATCATGCTTGACGAGGCGCATGAGCGAAGCATCCACACGGACATCCTCTTTGGCCTCCTCAAGTCGATCCTCTCGGCCCGCAGCGACCTCAAGCTCATTGTCACCTCGGCGACCTTGGACGATGAGCGCTTCGCAGCCTTCTTCAACGGCTGCCCCGTCTTTCGCGTGCCCGGGCGGTCGTTCCCGGTGGACATTTACCACTCGAAACAGCACCAAATCATGGGCAAAACCGGGCCTGTCTCGACGTACATCACGGCGGCCGTCGATGCGACGCTGCAGATCCACAGCAACGAGCCAGCGGGGCACATCCTCCTCTTCCTCACGGGCCAAAAGGAGATTGACGATGCGTGCAAGGAGCTCACAAAGCGGCTCCAACTGCTCCGCGACGCATCGCCCGACGTGGCTCGCTTCCACGTGCTGCCGCTCTACGGCGCCTTGTCGAGTGCCAAGCAGCGCCGCATCTTTGAGCCGTCGCGCGACCGCAAGATCATTGTGTGCACCAACATCGCCGAGACGTCGCTCACGGTCGACGGCGTCAAGTACGTCGTCGACGCGGGCTTTACCAAGCAAAAGGTTCCACCACGCTCAACGTGTCAATGTTTCAACATATCAACTGTAGGTCTACAACCCGGCACGTGGCCTCGAGTCCCTCGTTGTCGTGCCCGTCTCGCAAGTGTCTGCCCAGCAACGGGCCGGCCGTGCAGGCCGCACCAGGTACACCACAAAAGAGTTGGAAAGGACAGGCAATAGAACCCGATGTAGCGCGGGCAAATGCTACCGCCTCTACTCCAAGCAGTCGTACGAGTCGATGCTGCCCGAGACCGTGCCCGAGATCCAGCGCTCCAACTTGGCCAACACGATCTTGTACCTTAAAGTGCTCGGCATCGCCGACGTGGTTGGCTTCGACTATTTGGATCCGCCGGCCGAAGACGCGATCCTCGACGCCCTCCACCAGCTCTACATCCTAGGTACACTCGATTCGACATGCGCACTTGAGAGCACGCGATGTCTAGGCGCGTTGGACGACGACGGCAGCGTCACGGAGATTGGCAAGGACATGGCGCAATTTCCGCTCGAGCCGCGCTTGGCCCGGTACCATCGCAACCTTGAGACCTTGAGAGATTGATACGGTGGGTAGCGTGCTCCTCGAAGGCATCCAGCTCGACTGCGCGAACGAAGCGATGACGATCGTCGCCATGCTCTCCGTCGAGAACGTCTTTATGTTTCAAACCAACCGACACCGCGACGACCCCATGGCGGCGTCGCGTCGCCGCGCCATGGACCTCCTCGAGACCACGATCCATCCCCGAGGCGACCACCTAACCCTCCTCCAGCGTACTGGTCGTGATCGATGCCATCTCGCTCCTCACGATCTCGATGCGCGTAGTCTTCCAAGCGTGGGAGCACCTCCCGCCGTACGAGCAAGAAGCGTGGTGCCATGAGCGCCATTTGCACTGCCGCGCGTTCCGCACCGCCGCGTCGGTCCGGTCGCAGCTCCACGACTTGGTCGACAAGGTGCGTCGACGCCAGCAACCGCCGACAACGACGACGCCGACGCTCGACCGCGTCCGACAAGCCGGTACATTGTCCTCCTCGTCCATCGGCATCGTCATCTCGTATCCATGTGCAGTGACCGCGGGCTTCTTCATGCATGGGGCCCGCAAGTGCATCATGCACGCGATCTACCGCTGCCTGCACCATGGGTCGACCGAGGACACGACCGCAGAGCTCGTGCATATTCACCCGTCGTCGTCGCTGAGCGAGCGAGCGCCGCCCGAGTTTTGCATCTACCACGAGCTCGTGCACACCAGCCGCGGTAGGCGCCAGCAGATAATGATGCTTCGTCTTCAACGCATACTAGGCTACATGCGCCACGTGCTCGAGGTCGACGCGGCGTGGCTCGACATGTACAAACCGCCCAAGCAGCTCAAGCCCTCCGAGTGCTACCGCCTCACGCAGCGGGAGCCACCGGCCGCGCTCGTCGCCGCCGAGACGTCCGCCGCTGCCGCCGTCGACGTCGGCGACGCGCCGCGCTTCGTCAAGGTCGAGCTCGTCAAGGTCACGGACGACGCCGTCTCGGCGGCACGCGCGCGGTACCTCGCCCGAAAGCAGCAGCAGCATCGCAAGTAGCGTCGGTGTTACTTTTTTACAAAGATCTTGTGCGTCACAAGTTTCCACGCGGGCTGGCCCTTGTACAGCATCGGGCGCGCAAAGACGGTCGCGCACCGAGGGCACGTGCCCATGGGCTCGTTTGGCGGGAGGTAGCTCTTGAGGATGCGCTCGGGCAGCAGCTTGACGAGCGACGACGTCCCGCTCCCGCGCTTGCCGTAGTCGACGAGCTTGGTCTTGCAGCCGTTGCAAAACACGGTCCAGTTGCGGTACATTTTTGCTCGTGGCCCACACCCCACCCCTGCCAAAAAAAACAAAAAAACAAGGACGGGGTGGGGGCCCTATGCACCCGCGCGATCCACCCCGCAGGACTGCAATGCACAGAGGCCATGGACTCCGTGCAGCGCGCTCGTGCTGTCCAAGGCTCATGGTGACACTGCAGTTGCGATCGCGCGCCAAGTCGACGTCGATGCTATCCTGTATTCGCATGAGATTCCTTGTTGCTCGCCCGGAATGCAGATTATGTAGCGCCGTCGCGCGAAGCCAGCCACGTGGCTAGTCGTCCGCCTTGCTCCTTGCTCGCAGCACACCTGGGCTCGGTCGCAAGCTTCTTCTTGCGGCGATCTGACCGCGCGTCGAAGCCGAGCGATCCGATGAATCCAGTGGCCACGTCATCCAGATCGAGCCCGAGCCCTAGGACTCGCTCAAGTACGAGGCTCATTCAAGTGCGGGTTACACCGTGAGCAACCAGGGGTCACTTTCATTTCGCCACCATGGCCAAAGCTAACGCCCGGATCCTCGCCCTCTTCGACGTCGATGGCACGCTCACGGCCGCCCGCAAGGTAGACCTCCGACATGCATACCATGCTAAGCAGTCATCAGGTGGTCACGCCGGAGGTGACGGCCCGCATCGCCAAGCTCAAGTCGCAGATCACGATCGGCGTCGTCGGTGGCTCGGACCTCGTCAAGCAAAAGGAGCAGCTCGGCGAGAACGGTAGTAGACTCATCGCCATGGATGGATGATGATAGTAAGCTCATGCGCAAGCTAGTGACGGAAGCGTTCGACTACAGCTTCTCGGCTACCACAACGGCAAGCTCATCAACAAGACGGTACACGCCTCGCGATCGCCGCCATCTCACTCACATCCTCCTTGCAGAGCTTGAAGGAATTCCTTGGCAACGACAAGCTCAACAAGTTTATCAACTTTACGCTGCTCTACATTGCGAACCTCGACATCCCGATCAAGCGTGGCACGTTCATCGAGTTCCGCCAGGGCATGCTCAACGTGTCGCCGATCGGCCGCAACTGCTCGCAGGAAGAGCGCGACGACTTTGAGCAGTACGACCACATCCACCAGGTCCGGTCGAAGATGGTCAACGTGCTCCGCACGCAATTCCCCGAGTACAACCTTACGTACTCGATTGGCGGCCAGGTACGCTCGTCCTCTCTTCGCACGACGACGTCCTCATCCCTCTTTAGATCTCGTTTGACGTCTTCCCCGTCGTACGCTGCCGCCTCTCGAATAGCCAACGCTCATGCGGAATGCGTGCTAGGGCTGGGACAAGACGTACTGCCTCCGCTTCTTGAGCGCGTCGGACTATGACGAGATCCACTTTTTCGGCGACAAGACCCACCTCGTACGCAGCAGATTTCGCACAAGGTCTCATGTCCATGCGTCGTCTAGGGCGGCAACGACTACGAGATCTTTGTCCATGACCGCACGATCGGCCACGCAGTCAAGAGCCCCGCCGACACGCTGCGCTTGCTCGACGAGCTCTTCCCGTTGAAGTAAACTTATAGCATTACAATACTACAACTGGTATAATCCCTACTCTGGTAACAGCGTATCACTTCCAAAGTTGGCCATCGGGTCCTCGCGCTTGTTCTTCTCGAGGCGGTAGACCTCCATGTCTTCCGCGCTCACGTCGTCGTGGTGCATCGACGTGTACTTGCGCTTCTTGGAGTCGTTGTCGTCCTCGGCCTTCTTGGCCTTCTTGGCCTTGGCCCTCGCCTTCTTGAGCTTCTCGTCGTCGAGCGTCGGGGCCGTGTTCTCGCCGTAGAGCTCACTGCGCGCCGTCAGGGCAAAGGTCGACTCCTTCGTCGACGGCACGAGCATCTCGCGCGCCTGGACCGGCACTTGCTCTTGGGCGGCCGCCGCGATCGCCGACGCCATCGCAGCCGCCTTGCCCTCGTCGCCCGTGCAGTACGACTTGCGCACCTTGGAGTGGCAGCACGCAAAGCCCCACGCACGCGCCGCCTTGTCGTACCACGAGCCCCAGATCTGTGTATGGTTGTTCTCATAGATGTCTTCCATGTACTTGGACTTGACAGGTGCCTTCTCGATGCCCTTGACGACGCGGCCGTCGCGCGAGTACTCGACGTACGCCTCGGTGGACGCGAGGAGGAGCTCCTTTGGCGGCGCCTTGGTTTGCTCGCCGTACTTGTCGATGATGGCCTTGCGCTTCTCGGCCTCGAGCGCCGCCTTCTTGGCTTCGTACTGCTGTCGCATGAACTCGGCTGCACTCGGCGTCGCCTGCGGGTGCAAGTGGCCCTCGGCAACGACGCCATGCTCGGTGGCTTCCCACGCAAACATTTGCGTCTTCGCGAGCTTGACCGCGTCGCCGGAATGCTATACCACGACGCATGAGGCGGGTGGAATGACATGCGTGGAGCAACGTACGCGAATAAAGTTGTCGCCCATAAAGGCCGCGTCTTCGGCGCTCAAGTCAGGATTCGGGTTGTCTCGCATCGAGCGCGTCTTGGGGTCGTAGTAGGCCGAGTTTGGGTTCAAGTTGCGGAGGTACTTGGCCGTGTCTTCTCGAATGCGCAAGTTTCGGGCCTGCAAAAGCGTGCATTGCAGAAAGGTAGACACATGGGCGATAGGTCGTGTACCGTGATCTTCATCTCTGCACCACCGACACCGCCTTGACGCGAGACGCGCTTGGCAATGACGCGGCCGCCCTCCTTGTCAACGAATTCCTCGTCCTCGGAGCCTTCGCCGTCCGAATCCGAGTCCGAGTCGGACGTTGTCTTCGTCTTGCTGCCCTTCTGACCATCGTCGTCCTTGAACTCTTCGTTCATCTCTTCGATGCGCTTTTGTTTGCGCGCTTCCTCCATCTTCTCGAAGCGCGCGATCGTCGCTTGGTGCTCGTCGTTGTCGTAGCCGAGCCACGCGTCGCGCTTGGCGTCGAACGTGAGCTTGCCATACTGCCCCGAGCGCACGTCAATGATGACTTCGTCGGGCGCAATGTCCTTGTTGGTCTTCCACGCGCCCACCTTGCGCGGCCGCTCGACGCACTCCTTGGCGTTGTGCGTCATGGCGCCGCAGTTGGTGCACGCGCCCTTCTGGAACTTCCGGCGCGTCGTCGTCTGCTTGAATGCACGGACGTTGAGCTGGTCGGCCTCCTGCATCGAGAGCACTTGGTCCTTCTTCGGGTTGATCTGATGCGTCAGCGACGGGCCCGACGACCCGAGGTACCAGGGCCGCTTCGAGATGTAGTCGGGGTTGTGAGGGTTGATGAGGTTGCCGTCGGCGTCCTTCTCGGGCGGGAGCGTCCCATTCTTCCGCGCCTCGTCGATCTCCTTCTTCTTGCGGAAGTCCGACGCGGACATGCGATCGCCCGAGCTGTTCATGGCCCTTGGTGCAGTCCCAATTCAATGTGCCTACTCGAAGAAAAGCCCATGTCCTAATTAGGATCCTAGAAGTCGGACTTTTGCTGGCCGAACCGCCCAACCTCGCATCGCCCAGCTCGAGTTGCTACCGGTGCATTCGCGCATGCATAGTAGACCTGGCAACGGCCAGTTTGTGTTGTGCGGGGAGGATGAGGTCGCTGTACTACGAAGCTCGTTGGTGTCGGCTAGCGAGCGCATCACGGCCTCCAACACTTGGCCCCAACATGGCTCGCACGCTGCTTGTTGCTGTAGCCACGCTCAGGGTGATAGTTTGGTGCATGCTGGGCTGCTTTCGAGGCCCACGAACTACGGTGCCATGAGAAGGCGACATGTTGTAGGGATCCCTCCATGCACGCAGACCCGCGGACCATGATGGTACCGCAAAGCTGGTTTATTACGACGTCGTGGACACCAACGAGTTGATATCGCTACAGACTGATGCGGCCCATGAGCTCACGCCATGGGGCAGACTGTAGCCCTCGACTGCAGCGCTTGCGAGCCCACATGAGACGTGCTGTCGCGGGTCCTGAAGTCATGGACGTCGTAAAGCACCCAAAGGGGCCAAGACGCGAGTCGTGATCAGGAGAAAAGCCTTCGATTGTTATATTAAGCCGAGCGAGGTGCCCGAGCTACATAGGACCTCGTAGCAAGATGGGAGCGTACCACACGTGATGTTGCGCAAGACAGCAGCAAGCCAATACGCCAAACCTTGCTAGATTTAGACGCGCTTAGGGCGGAAACGGGCCGGCGGCTCACGGTTCTTGCGGCCATCGACCGAGCGGACGCGGACGATGCGCTGGTGGATCGCGGCTTCGATCGAGTAGTAGTTCTTGATGTAGATCTTGGGGAGAGCGTACGACTCGTAGACCGAGGCTTCCTTCAAGTCACGCATGGCCGAGGCATCGACCATGTTGCGGACGACGAAGCGCTTGATGGCCTTGTCCTTGGGGATGAGCTTGGCCGTCGAGACGCAGTGGACGCGCTTGACGTGGCCACGACCCTTCTTGTTTCTACCGTGGTTGCGACGCTTCACAGTCATGCTTGTAGCTTTTCTCGAAAATGAGACTCCGCCGAAATGGCGATGCAAACAAGCGCCCACCAGCCACCAAGGCCACCACATACAAATTCCTAGATAAACACCGCCGCGGTACCCCTATCCCTCGTTGCTCCATTTCATTGGTGCACAGCCCAAACGCGCCCGATTCGCTGCGCAGCAGCCAATCCGCGCGCGACCTTTATCCGGATATCCGGATAGCGTGGCGCCAACGCCGACCAGGGGTGCCACGTCCGCGGATGTGTTGTGCGGCGTTGACGTCGGGCGCAGCGTCGAGGCCGCACCACAGCGGTCATTGCGAGTCCTCGCAGGTGGCTTCACTCGTATGCTTTTGGATGGCGGCCACTCAGATTGAGGTCTCAGTGCTGCCATTCGTCGTGCTGCGAGTCTGCACTGCAACGGCACGATATGGCGACGTGGCGTATCCAGCGACATTGAGTATAGCCAACGTACATCGGGTCGTTTGTTGTGAGCGCGACAAGTCATGAGTTAAGCATCGTGTCTGGAGGTTGGAGAGACTGCTGCCACGCTCCTGAGCGAATAAAGCAGCAGTGAACTCTCGATGTTCGATTGAGCTCGATCACCGCCACGACGCACGAGCATCACCAGCATTGCAGAGTATCGGTTGTGGGTTGCTGAACGCTCTGCGGTGCAATCGTGCAACTTTTCCCTTGGTCGTAGTCGACTCGAAGACGGTGTGATTGATTCGTTGGCGGACGCTAAGAAACTCTGTGCTTAACTCGAGCTCTGTCGAGGTTTGACTGAGCATGACTAGAACGAGTCGTCGAAGAGGGCTGCGCGGAAGATCAAGTAGTTCGACTTAGTTGGACCTTACAGAAGTTGTAAGAGCGAGGGTGCATTCCGAAATGTACCTCGTGCCAAGAGACAAGACTCTCCACGTGCTCACATACCGTGATTGAAGCAGCGCGGAGGCGTCCCCTCCGTAGACGTCGCCAGAAGGTAGTAGCAAGGGCTTGCTAGTACCGGGCAAGACGACGTGCCGGCGTCGGTTTTGCCAAGCTGTGCGATTTCCGCTAACACCCACGAATTCTTGTATCGGTGACGGGTTTCGTCGCAAGTGATTCTCTCGCAGTAGTATATTTTGTGCCATGCTCCGTTCATTCAGCTTCAATTCGATGATCATATGATTGACCCTTGCGTTCGAGCACGCCCAAATCGCTCTGCGGTTCTTCGTGAGTGCGCATGCGGCTCTGCCAGAAGCATTGGCCAGCAAGACGATGCACTCGCCGAATCAACGCTTTGAGAAACAATTTCGTACTAGTACCCGGTACTTGTATGCAGGGTGGCCCTGCCGACAAAAGTTCTGGAGAGCTCGACCCCGGGTTTGGCCGAGCGGCCGCAGGGTAGACGCAAGTGCACGACACCAGTTCTCACCCCAGTGCACCAATACACGGCTGAATACACGGTGGTGTTACGGTGGACAGAATGAAGCTTGCTGCGTCGTTCTGTGTGTCGCCCATCGCGTGATGCACCAAGGTAGAAAAAGTCCCTCGAGCTCAGGCGCCTCGACAAAAACACGCAAGCCAATCCATCGCCTAAACCACGATGCAACATGAATGCCATTCGACCCCGCAAGCTCTCGACGCAATCCTGCATCCGAGCACCTACGTCACTTGTCTTGCCGGCTACGGAGCTACTTGAGGGGCGGCTTCTTTCTGTACCTGGTAGTCGGCTCGAGCAACCTCGCAGAATTAACCTTGCGGCTGTCGTGAAGTCGTCGACGTGCTGCTCCCCCGTACGAGCTTGCAGTGGGCATAGACAGGCACGAGACACCGTCGTGAGTGATTGGACGACGAACGAATGCCAACGCTTGGGAGGAAGCACCGGCGCGAGCGAGGATGTTTAGCCCTACCCCTTAAACGGAGGGGAGCAGGCTAGGCTCCAAGTAGCAAGGTTGCGAGAAAGGGCTTTGATGGGTGGCGTGGACGGCGACGACAGACGACAGAAAAAAGTATCTCGTTTCGCCATCGAGGGAATACACGGTAGGAAGAGTGGATTGGCGACAGTCAGTTGGAACAACACCCAGCGCGGGAGGAGTAGCTATCGCCGCCGGCTGCGATCGTGCGGTCCCTGGCTGCGTTCGAATCATTTTGCAGGCGTGGTTGATCGTGCGCGATGTATATGCTGCAAGGGTGGTCAAGTGGTCGTGTAGGAGGAGTAGCGGCATCGCCTGTCGGGACCAGCCACCATTCGTGTGGTCGCACGGCGAGCTTCGATTACGCAGCCTCGATGTGGGACTACATTCCCGAAGCTTGCGTCGCGCCACCCAGCGAACTGACGTGGCACCGCGCTGGTTGACCAGCTGCGCGGATCGTCCCACGCCCACGTATGTGGGCAGGCACGTGCGCATCGGTGGCCAGTGCGGCGAGAATGCCGACCAGGGCGAAGATGGGCACGGCAGGGTTGCATAAAAGCTTGTTCGATCGCGCCCGTTGCCGTTGTCGCAGTCGACTCTCGCATATCGTCAAAATTCCAGTTCGATTCAATTAAATAATATACAACAAAGAGTCTAGATCGTGGCAGCGTAGTGGTAACCCATGCCATTGACAGGCACGAACTGCTGGCGCATGTACTGGTCGCTGCCCGACTCAAAAGCCGACGGGTCGTTGTAGGGCAGGAGGTCGACCCAGTTCATGTCGTTGTCGTCCCATTCGCCACCCGAGTGCGTGCTCGTGAGGCTCGTGACCGAGTCGCGGATGTTCTCGAGGTCGCTGTCGGCGATCCAGTCGAGCTCGTCGTGCATTGCCGTGAGGTCTTCGGCCATGACGCGTTGCGGCGCTGGCTGCTTCTTGCCCATGACGCGCGTCAAGTGCTTGTTCTCGTACGGCGACGCGTAGCAGTCCATCGACGCCTTCTGGCCCATGACCGCGGCCTTTTGCTTGTGGAGGCTCATCGAGTTGAAGGACGAGTCGAGGCTGCCGTTCGTGATGACGAGGTGCTCCTTCTTGATCGCGACAGGCGAGTCGCACGAGTAGTAGCCGGTCGGTGTGCTGCAGCCGCTGCTCGGCGTGCGCGGAAGGCGGTGCGCCGAGTTCTTGCGCGAGAGCACCTTCTCTTCGTGGTTGTGGTGGTGGTGGTGGTCGTCGTCGGCCGCGAGCGCCTCCTTCTGCGAGCTCATGCTCTTCTTGCGCGTAATGAGCGTGCTCCGGTACGGCTCGTGGCGCGTAAAGTACTCGTTGCTGAACGTGCACACGTTGGCGCGGCTCTTGGTCCACTTTTTAAAGTTGAAGTAGTTGAGCTGGCGCTGGAACGACGTGTATTTTTGTGCTTGAAGTACTTGGGCAGCACCGTGTTCATCATCTCGTCCATGTCGTGGATCTCAAAGGCCGTGCCGTCCTTGGACCAGCGCAGCACTTCGGGGTTTTCGCGCTCGAGCATGTTGCGCAAATTGCGCAAGAACGGTGCCATCTCGCGCGACTTGCGCGACTCGGACGGCGACTCGTCGCCCGACATGCCCGAGTCGACGGCCTCGGACGGCGTCGGCGTGCCCGGCATGCACTGGTACATGTGCTGCTGCATGTAGTTGGCGTGGTGCGACGACGGCAGCTGGATGTGGAGCTGGTATGGCGACGACGACGACGACTGCATGGCAAGAGGCAAAATGGAAAATGGCAATCTGCTCGGCGAACGAGATGATGCAGCGCTTTCCCGCAATGGCACCCGATGGCATTAAAATCCATTGGTTTTTTATTGTCCCCACGGCCGTCGAGGCCCATGTGATACTTGAAATCGTATACGATCGCCGTATCAGTTTTGGGCCATCATTAAAATATTATCGGCGTTTTCAATGGTATCCTCCCATGCATTTTATTACGACATACGCGACCGAGTTGAAGCGCAAGCGGCCACAAAGGTGCTACTCATGCTTCGTACCGAGACGCTGGCGTGCTCAAGGAGTCACTAGCCTCTGCAGCGCTACTGTATTACGGCCACGGCCGAGGGCCGATATCGGAATCGGATATACAACGCAAATTGGTGCCATGTGGCTCGCTTGCCTGGTGCGAAATCAACAGGCGTCGCCTCGATCTCGGGCGGACAAGCTGGGCGGACGTAGCTAGGTGTATGTGGTCAGCGCCTACCCCCTGGGTGTCACTCAAGAACGAACGAGCTACTATCCGTTTCATTTGAAGTGGCCGGGAAAACCAGGCATCTCACCCGTCGCGTGGCGCCGCCACGTGTAGCCTCTCTGCGGCACACGTCTGATCCACGACTACTTAAGGCGTTGCCGAAACCTGCAGTGGCGCAGATCGTGGCCGGAGATGCCGACGTGCACAGCCTCGTATGGGATGGGATGGCACTGCAGCGAGGCGTTTCAGACCAAGCGCGGTGTCGCTGTGTGGGACACGTCGAAACGTGCGGCCCTTGCGTCTCCGGTGTCGTCACATTGAACGAAAGCTAAAAGACGGCCGAGGGATGGCCGCGACTCGCGTGCATTTGTTGCGTCGTAGACATCGTCGGCTTACCCGTTCGCAGCTGACGAGCTCTTAAAGGCGTGTTCGATTTTACCAGTTGCGGGAATCTCGCTATACGTCCTATTCAGGACATATGGTTGCACTTGCGGATCGCTAGTCCACACTCCTACCGGTACCTCCGCACGCTTTGTGGACGGCACACACTTGACGAATGAGAATGAGTTGCCTGCCGGTACGACAATTTTTAAATATTTATAGTTTTATGTTGCGCAACGTTCTAGATCTTCCGTTTATGCACTGTACTTTGCGACAGAGATACCACCTTGTAACTAGGGGATCAACGCGAGATCGCGTGAGAACGCCCGCGGCCGCTCACCGCAATGGTAGTAGCATCGGATCGTATACGATGGGATGATGGTGGTCTCGGAGGAAGCTGCGGATCCGCTCGCAAACACACGCGTACGTAGACATCACGTACCAATCTTTTAGCGTCAAGGAAGAAGATCGCACGAGGTGATGGCGATCGGCGCCTGCGATTACGGTGGACACGACGTGGTGTTTTTAAAGCACCGCCCAACCTCCTTTGTTTGCCGTGTGGCGCTATACCACAACACGTGCAGATTCCTCGCCGAATCTAGTCCGACGGGCGTGCGAGGTCCGCCCACTTGCATTCAAGTTGGAGCAGGCTTTGCAAGCGTGAACATAAATCCTACTGCTGCAAGCTACCTCGCTTCGCCTTTTACTGTATGGCGCATGCTCGGACCTGCGACTCGACCTGCTGCGTCCGCCCCGATTAGGCGCATGAATCGTATTACATATCTGCGAAATACGCTGCGAAACCAGGGTTGCTTTGAACCTACCAACGCGATCTTTCAAGAAGTGATAGAAGATCGCGTGGAGGTTGTGTGCGTGATGCTGCGCGCAGCGACATGGCTAAAAGTGAAATCCTACCAACTTAACATTCCTCGTCTATGCTCCGACCTCTGGCGCCACCATGATGTCGCCGCGCAACATATAACCCCGCCTTTACACTTGCTCGCGACGGACCAGCCCACGCCAGCGGTATCGTCACTGGCCCCTTTCTTCCTCCCGAACCACTGCGTCTAGTGTAAGATCGCAAGGCGCTCATTGGCTCCTCAGCATGCTGCACTGTGATTGGCGCACATCCCAATCAAACATCAAATCACTGGATGCATCTCACTGGCGTTGCCTCCCAACGAACTCCCACGGCCTTCCCAACGGACTCCCACGGCCTTCCCAACGGGCAGGCGGCCACTTTGCACTACGAACCAAACATCTCGTACTACAGTAAAGCCCGACTGGATTAGTCGACATGGAATCCTTTTAGTTGATAGCAAACGTACTACGTAGTCATTCTGAAGTACGTGCGAATACGTGCTTCTTGCGGCGTGCCGGCGGACGACATGCCGTACACTCGCAGAGCCGGCCACCGCGAACCGCGAGAGGGCCACAGGAAGTCTCTGCGGGCGGGCCGATGTCGATGGGCGCGCCGTGTGATTGGCTATTTTTAACGAGCTGTGATTGGTTGAAATCCTGGGGTTTTCGCTGGCGTGGAGTCGGGTGCCAGTCTTGTAGTCGCTTCCTTCCATCTAGCCCCATCATGCCCATTGACATCAACCAACTCCGCGTCGAGCGCGGTGGCAACCCCGACATCGTCCGCGAGAGCCAGAAGAAGCGCTTCGCGAGCGTCGACCTCGTGGACCAGGTCATCGCCCTCGATGAGGAGTGGCGCAAGAAGAACGGCGAGTGGGAGACGATGAAGATGAACATCAACGCTCTCCAGGCGCAGATCAAGGACCTCGTCAAGGCCAAGAAGCAGGACGAGGCCCAGCCGCTCATCCAGAAGCGCAAGGACATGGCGGCCTCGGAGCCGGCAGCCAAGGCCGAGGCCGACGCCATCAAGGTCGTCGTCGATCGCGAGCTCAGCAAGATTGGCAACCTCGTCGACCCGTCGGTGCCCGTCTCGCAGAACGAAGATGACAACGAAGTTGTTGCTACGTGGGGTGCGTGCCGCCCCCACGACGATGCGCTCCACTACCACCACGAAGTGCTCCACCGCATTGACGGCTACGAGCCGGAGAAGGGCGTCGCTGTCGCGGGCCACCGCGCGTACTTCCTCAAGGGCTACGGTGTCATGCTCAACCAGGCGTTGATCATGTACGGCCAGGCGTTCCTTATGAAGCGCAAGTACACGCTGCTCCAGCCCCCGTACTTTATGAACAAGGAAGTCATGGCCGGCGTCGCGCAGCTCTCGGAGTTTGACGAAGCCCTGTACAAGGTCACGGGCGCCGATCCCTCGGATGAGAAGTACCTCATCGCGACGTCGGAGCAGCCCATGTGCGGCTTCCACAAGGGTATGTCCTACATGTGGCATCATCCAACGAGGCTAACATGCGCACTTAGATGAATGGATCACCGAGTCGTCGCTCCCGATCCGGTATGCTGGTTCGTCGACGTGCTTCCGCAAGGAAGCGGGGTCGCACGGCAAGGACACGTGGGGTATCTTCCGCGTGCACCAGTTCGAGAAGGTCGAGCAGTTTGTCTTGTGCGAGCCGGAGAAGTCGGAAGAGATGCTCCAGGAGATGATCTCGACCGCCGAGGCGTTCTACCAGTCGCTCGGCCTCCCGTACCGCGTCATCAACATCGTCTCGGGCGAGCTCAACAACGCCGCGACCAAGAAGTATGACTTGGAAGCGTGGTTCCCGGCGTACGCCGAGTTCCGTGAGCTTGTCTCGGCCTCCAACTGCACCGACTACCAGGCGCGTGCGATGGAGATCCGTTGCGGCGGCAAGAAGATGAACCAGACCGAAAAGAAGTACGTGCATTTGCTCAACGCGACGCTCTGCGCGACGACGCGCACGATCTGCTGCATCTTGGAGAACAACCAGACGCCTGAGGGTGTCCGCGTCCCGGACGTGCTCGTCCCCTTCATGGGCGGCGTGACCTTCCTCCCGTTCGTCCAGGACGCCAAGGTCAACCACCAGGCCGTTAAGATGCAAAAGGCGGCTGCCAAGAAGAAGTAACTTGTACCTGCAATACCACGCCTCGTCTTCTCCCTGTACTTAGTATGTCATGTGTGTGCATGGGACCAACCAAAGTGTAGTCGTAGTCGAGACGACGTTGACGGCAAGGACAACAACAATGCATGGTCGTTGGCTCCGATTTATATATTTGGGACGCGCGGTTCTATCTCGTCGACGACGCTTAGTACAACATTTCTTCCTTGATCGTCTTGGGGTCGACCTTGGGCACGAGGTCCGAGTCGGGGCGCATCTTGAAGCCGGCCGGCGGGTGCTCCCACTTGAGCGTCGTCTTGCCCTGCGGGCCTTCGCACGAGAGCTGGCCGTTCATCGGGAGCGAGCCCCACTTGTTCATGGCCGGCGCCTTGCCCGCCTTACACGCGTCGAGGAGCTCGCGCGTCGTCTGCGGCGTCAAGTTTTCGTAAAAGTCGTCGTTGATCTGCACCATGGGCGCGTTGGCGCACGCGCCGAGGCACTCGACTTCGCGGAGCGTAAAGAGCTCGTCGGCCGTCGTCTCGCCCTCCTTGATGCCGAGGTGCGACTCGATCGTCTTCTTGATCTCTTCCGAGCCGCAAATCATGCACGGCGTCGTGCCGCAGAGCTGGATAAAGTACTTGCCGACCTTCTCGCGGTTGAACATGGTGTAGAACGTCGCGACCTCGTACACCTGGATGGGCTTGACCTCCGTGATGCGCGCGACCTTGTTCATGGCCGCGAGCGGGAGCCACCCGCCGTGCTGGCGCTGGGCGAGGTCGAGCAGCGGGATGATCGCCGACGCCTTGTAGTTCTCCGGGTACCGCGACAGGATCGCGTGGACCTTGACGTAGTTCTCCTCGCTAAAGTCGAACGGCGTCTCCTTCGTGTTGTCGGGCGTGTCCCGGTGCTGCGAGATGGCGCCGCCGCTCATCGCGCGGGCCGTCGGCGCCCGGCGCGCGACAGAAGCTACGAGGCGCGACAACATTTTTCCCGACCAGTCAAGAGGACAATGCCACCCGTCGCCACCGCAAACACAAACCTCTCAGACTCGATAGGTGCAGCCAGAGGCAAGTGCGACATTCAATGTCACAGGTTTTTCAGCGCCGGCTAGTTGCACCCAGATGGCCAGCGGGCGCGGGCCGGCCGCAGCGAAGCCCAACGAAGCCTTCGCCCATGGACCTCCAAACCGTCAAGAGGCACGCATGCGCGAGGGTGCGGAGCGGTACATGTGCACACAGCATATACGCTGACGCGACACCCTAGCAAGAGCCATGGGAAAGGCGACAGCGCCGCGTGAAAAAGGCGGGAAATGCATTTTGCCCTTGACGGCAACAGCACTGCAAGTATAAAGCGTCTGCGCAGGACTGAGCCGCGCCGACCGAGGACGTGGCGAACGAAGACTTGGGAAGATCGCTTGTCGTCTTGAATGGACGAGGAGCGCAACGGACGCTAGCATGGAGTGCACTGGGCCGGGGGCGGCTATTTCGAGCAGTGCGTTTTTGTGCGTCCGCGCGCTGGGTTGCGTGGGATTAGCCAATACAAACCCCGAGTGTGTCCGAGAGCGCACTTAAGTGGGCCGGCCCCACTGACTGGTTGCATTTTTGTTTGGCTGCGAACGAAGACGACAAGCACCATGGTAGAAGAGTCTAGCGCACGAAGGAGACGCTCATGGTCCGCATGATGTAGGCTGGCGAAGATCCCGTTGACATCTACCCGGAAATCCGCAAGGGCTGCGAGTCCAAGTGCGCGCCGGTCGTCAAGGAGTACAACGCGTGCCTGGACCGCGTCGCTGGCAAGGGCGGCTGCGACGGCCAGTACTTTGACCTGTTGAAGTGCGTCGACAAGTGCGCTGCGCCGCAGATCTTCAAGCACTTGAAATAGACAACAACCCCAGATAGATAGTGCGGGATAAGCGGCTCAAGCTAATGCGACCGCGAGATCTCCCGGGCTCGTAATTTGCGTGTGCTACTCCGACGCCCACCGCTTCGCAAAGCATTCTCGCATCGATATGAACATGCATGCAATTCGCTTAACAACAGGCAAAAGCGGCTTCTAGAATCGACCAGATCTCGTCGACGGCTTCGAGGCCAATCGAGATGCGGATGAGGTCGCGGGGCACGCCGCAGGATTCGACGTAGTCGAGCTCGTCGTAGTGCGCGAGGAGCGTATACGGGCACGAGAGCGTAAAGTTGGTGCCCAAGCTCGGGCCCTTTGCAAACGTCAGCGCGTCGTAGAACGCCTACCCGTCCATGAGCTCTGAGGTTTACATGCTAATGTCTCTGTACCTTGGCGGCCGCTTGGCCTCCGTGCAGCACGACCGAGAGGAGCGGGCCGTGCGCGTCGGTCGCCGCCGCTGCCAAGTTGAAGTGCTCGTACGCCAATGTGTCGACGTACTTGGGGTAGAAGATACGCTCGACTTTCGGGTGCGACTCGAGCCGCGACGCCACGGACGCTGCGGTTGCATTCACACGCGTAAGCCGCGCCGCGAGGTCGTCCGAGTCGTGAAGGAGCGCGGCCGCGTCGTCTTCAAAGAGAAAGCTATCGCCGGCCAGCGCTCCGAGAAGCGTGTCGAGAAGGGGCGATGACGGGTTGGCAACCAGCGAGCCGCCCATGACCGTGCCCGTTCCGCTAAAGATCTTGGTCAGGCTGGTGGCGACGAGGTCTGCCGCGTGGCCGTTCGTTTCGCGCAACACCTAAGCACGTGTGAAGACGCGGAGAGTTCGCATCGGAACGTACGTTGACGTTGTACGAGCCGACCGTGTCGTCGACGACGAGCAGCGTGTTGTGCCGGTGCGCAATGGCGGCGAGGCGCGGTAAATCGGTGCTGTGGAGCAACGGGTTGCTCGGGAACTCGGTGAAGATCGCATGCATGTGGTCGATCGCATCGATGGCGTCGAGGTCGGCCGCGTCGCCGCGCGGGAAGAATAGGACGTCGCCCGTGCTCCACTCGGATCGCCGCAGCATTTTGAGCGTATCGAGGTACGGGAACCCGACGAGAATCGTCTTGCCGGGCAGGTGGCCGCGGAGTTTCTGGACGAGCCGAAAGGCGGCAAAGATGGACGCCATGCCGGACGGGTACAAATTGACGTGGTCGCTCGGGACGTCGTAGAGGCTACCGATGCGGTCACGCAGCAACGCATGCGTCGGCGTGCCATCCATACGAGACGGCGAGGGCGTGCCATTCGACACTGCGTTCAAGACGTGCTCGGCGAGGCGCGACGACGTGATCTCACCGCTGTGTTGCCAAAAGGCCTTGAAGCAAGCGGCTGCGATCGTAGGGAGCACGATCGCGTGGGCGTCGCATGCGTGCAGTGGGACGATGTCGATGGCGGCGTCCGGGAAGCTGCGGTGGAGGAAGGCCTCGCAGCGCTTGGCGACCGCTTGCGTCGGGAGGACGCGGGCCGTCTGCGACTCATTGTCGACGTACTTGGTGCACCAGCCATTGAGATCCTTGACGTACCCATGGTAGACGAAGCGCGGGTACCCGCTGCGCAGCGACGCATGGAGCTCCGGGCAGCCCTGCTCGTAGCGCTCGACGTGGCTCCACTTGGGCATCGAGACCGAGACCGCGTGGACGTCGTCGGGCAGCGGCTCGCCGAGGGCCGCGTTCAAGCACGCTGGAACCATGGGTCGAGAGAATCGAATGTGATGTCGCAATCGGACCTCTCCCAAAAACCGATCTCCGTGGGTGTCTTCAACCCGAATAATCTTGTAGCACCCTTGGCTTCTTTTCGTACGTACCGTACATTCCAATCTACTTGTTGTCAGTATAAAGAATGATCGTATCGTACATTGGATTGGACGATGTACGATCTCGGTGGTCTCTGCGCTGTGATTGGCTGGAATCCATGATGGGCATCCGGATACACGTGGCAGCAGCCACAGAACCCACCCGCAAGGCGGCGCGTTTGAGCGGCTGTGGACAGAAGAGAAGCGCTTTTTGAAGTAGACTGCGCATAGAAATGACCACGAGTAGCTTGGCGAAGACGCTTCGGCGCAACCAGTTGACCATCCTGCGCTGCGGAACGCTTGGGTTGAATCCTTCAAATATATGGATATGACACGACGCCTGCCCGTCAGAAAATCTGTCCTACCAAGGGCAAGTTGAGCCTACTTCGGTGACGTACCGAACGTGGTCAAGTAGGTCGTATGTATGTTTGCTCACGCTATTCGTCTGATACAAGTAGTCCGAGAGGAATCTCAACCCGAATATATGGATGCTGCCGGTGTTGACAATCGACTCGCGGTATTTATAGCAAAATGGACGCGAGCACCAAGGTGATGGTTCAGAGCGCGGCGCTGCAGTCGCGGACGACAGTTCCTGTGGCGCGTCACTTTGACGCTGTCTCGACTCACTACCGCTACATGGATGCTGACGCGACAGCCAAAGACGTACCGTCGCCAAGCTGCTTTGACGAGTGTGACGACGATCGGTTAGGGCGAGGACCGAGCCCGGATCATTCGCGAGCTCAAGGCAAAACGATCCAAGGCCAAAGGCGCCGGCACGAAAACAGCGTTTGAAGCTGCTCTGGAAGTCCATGTACGTCCTACGAGGCAGTGCGGCTCCGTGTCTAACACTTCAGGCAGGGCCACCGACGACCCGTGATGCGCGCACCGCCGCCCGCACGGCCACCGACTAACCAAGCACCGACTGTTGAGAGCCCTATCGAGCAGATGAAGCGCGATATCGACAAGCGTGCGTCACCAACCGCGGCGCTCATGAAGAAGATTGCTGCCTTTAAAGCTGTAGCACCTGCCATCGCCTTCAAGTATTTATATAAGTTCTTAGGCTCAAGAGCGAGACTTGGCAGTGGTCGAGCGTCTCATCCAGGAGAAGAACGCCGCCGAGGCCAAAGCCAAACAGCTCGAAGCGCTGTTGTGGGAGCAGCCGGCCAAAGTGCATCCAACGCCCCAATCGTCGCGGCCAAAGGCGACCAAGAAGCGCGACCTTGTCATTGACGCCGGCGAGTCGTTCTTCAACGACATCCACGGCGACGAGTCGGCGCCACCCGATTTTGACATAGCGGGGCCGCGAACCGCGAGTTCGATCGAGGACGAGCCGCCTGGGTTCGACGACATCGTCGAAGAGCCCGAGGTACATTCCTACCTGCAATTTGAATCGTGAACGTAGCATCACCTGCGTAGCCGTGCGCAAGTCCGACAAGCAGCGCTAGCACCAAGCGCCGAGAACGCCACGCAGCTAACCCCGCGTCGGACGACGATGCACCGCCAAGCACGTGGGCGACCCGCATCTCGAGTACTATGCTCATGCTGCGTGGCGACGGATCCCTGAACGTGTGTAGGCGTCCACTCTTCGTTCTTGTCGGAGGAGACTGCGAGTTCCAACCGGAAGCGGCACGGCTCGTTCTTTGAAGCGTACGACGCGCAATGCAGCGAGCGACTCATTCAAATACGTGTAACAGGAAGGAGCGAGCGCAGCAAGAAGAGGCCGCGCGCGCCGCCGACGCGCGCGCCAAGCTCGAGCGCGCCAAGCACGCAACACCGTTTACGGGTGCGCGGTCGCGTCCGAGATGTCGGAAAACGCATGTGCACGTAGGTCTGCTGGAGAACGAGGCCAAGACGCGCGAACGCAAGCACCAGCGCCTTCAGAAAGTACAAGAAGCGGCGAGCCGCGAGTATCAACCTTTCAAGGCGCGCGATCCACCCGTGTTTGAGCCGACCGACGCCGACGTGGCCGAGCTCGCGCGGCAGAAGCGCGTTGCCGAACGCGCCGCCGCGCTTTTGGCGCAGAGCC